TTAACTTGTGCCGATGCAAACGTTCACCCACATCTTCATAATTATGTCTCAGGTCAGATGTGATGCAACAAGCCGTCAATTAGAGGTGCGAATGTGAAGCGTGGCTGCTGTTAATCCCTGAGCTGCACACACAATAGACACACACTGACTCTCACACACGTCGACTCTTCTCACCTACTCAACATGGGGCCACGTCGCTTTCTTGCAATAACAACAGCTGACAAAGCAAAACAAATTTAGGGACGCTTAATGATGTGAACGGTGTCATAACACACCCGCAGAGTCCAATTTAACTAATAACAAGGAACAAACAAGAAATCCGACAATAACCTTCCGTATGATCGAGGGATTTTGTTTTGTTTGTTCACTGATTAACGAAGCCAGAAGTTTTCTGAGGTGTGAAAGTGGCTGTTGAATCTATACGGATTGGCTCCAGTTGCATCATAATGTTACGTGACTGCACAAGTAACTAAACAGAAAAAGAACCGTCTCAACTTTAGAACCTGCACATCTAAAGTATATCTCTAACACTCACTCACAATTAAATAAAAGAATGTATATATGTGTTGATATAAATTGTACACGCTGTCTAATGAATATTCTGCTTACTGTACTTTTTTTTTTTTTATTTGATAACTTCAGAAACATATTCAGAATTTTTAAAAGCAACTTTTGTATCCAGGAGGCCCCGTTTTCAGTGTTGTTAATTACTATTTACTGGAATTTCAAATCAACCACAACTGTCATGAGTAAAGAATGTGGGTGTGCTCACCTTCCAAGGGCAGCGTGACTCAGTTTCATTTTAATCTTTAAATCATAGGGTGTTTTATCATTCTCGAAAACCAATTAATTCCCATTCTATTGTTATTTACCGGAGCCACTTGAACATATTAATAGACTCCAATCTAGTCCGGTTAAGTATAAGAAGCAGAAACTGCTTTGGAAAGGATCAGGAATACAGAATCTTATTAAGATGTCACAGGTGTTCATCCACATCTGTCTAACGCTCCAGAAAAATGGCAAAAGAAGAAACATCCAGTGCTGCTATGAACATGTTAAGAGTTGCAATAAGGTTGTGGGCCCATAAACTACATAGAATTAAACTCGAGTCATTATAGGCGAGTAAATCTAAATGTACTGGAACTGAGGTGAACACGTACAGTACAAGAGCTGCTCGGACCATCCTGAAAGAAAAGGCAAAACAAATTAATAAAGTAGAATTACAAATAAAAAAAAAAAAAAAGGTCAGTGGTGTGTGCCAGTTTAAATACTTTTATAATTAAACGAAAAAATGTATATAATCCGTAGAAACAAGCTGAAATCTATAAACTACACGAATGTCAGAAGCCGTTTTATTAGATTTATTTAACTTTACACCACAGAAATCCCAGCCAGCGTCACTCGACATGGAGGTATGTACAGTTAGTTCACATATCTTGTAATGAAATAGTCGAGAGAACTCCCATTTCCCTCAGTCTTACATATTTACGGTTTGCGTGTAACGTGCTGCTTTAGCCATCAGTGTGTGAGCTTTATATCAGGTTAACAGCCAGCAGGTGCCTGTTTAAAAACCCTTTTGTAAGGTTCATGTCTCAAACAAGTCAGCTAAAAATGCTACAAACAGCATTTTCATCAGCTCTTTGAGGAAACATTTGCATAATTTGTTAGTTATCAGCTGACGAAATGTGTCAACAAAATCAGTGGTGTTCGCTTAGACATGTGAAGCCTTCATTTGTTGCCCTCTACTTGAAATAATGTTTCAGAAGAATTCAGCATTGCAACTTCTGCAGTGTCTTAAGTGAATGAGTTTATCTTGTGTTGCTAAACTTGCAATGCAGCTCAGAACCAACCATTTCAAACTGAAGCGTTGTGGACAGATACTGTACGGTAACGCTTCACTCAAAATGCATAAAACCTTGTAGCAACTATCACCTGTCGGCGCTGATCCCTCACATCATACAAAGAAACACTCCTGATTACAGGACGTGTACAGTCATAAAACAAACAAACAAACAACAAACAAACAAATAAATAAAAAATCATTTATTCTGAACCAGTTCCTTTTATTTTAGCAAATTTCCCTGTTAAGTCAAATAACAGAGAATACCGAATGAAATCGCAGAAAATGAGTATTTATTTACACATTAAAACAGACCAAAACTGTAAAAAACAAACGCCCACATCAAAAGTTGTATTTTTACAAATAGTAATTTGCTCTTTTACAATGTATTATGCACTAATATTTGGTAAAATCACAGAAAAACTAATCAGTTTCTATTTTGATAGTCTAACATGCAGGTCAAATCTTTACATATTGTCTAGATCAAAAAATCTGTAGTTTTTATAATAATTTTTTTTGCAACATGTGACCAACAAATAACACCATTTACTGTATTTTAATCAGCTAAAGATGTCATTATTTTATAGATCTTATTTTCACAGTTTTTTAAAACATTACATTATACCACGGTCAGCCAGAATTGTATGGCTAACTGGTGTGCATTATTTTTGTGTATACGCACATGTAGTTCGGCGAGTTAAATCACTATTATATCACGCCACTCTGGACAAAGTAGTCCCAAAAACGTAGGCATTTTTAGCAAGTTTTTAATTATTAATTAAATAAATATTTTGTGTGTTTGCTCGCTGTGTGGGACCATGGTATGAGGGGATTAAACAACTCGGAGCCGTGCATTATACGGTTTGAATGCATGCAGCGAAGTCACACCAATCCACTTCGTGTCATGGTGTTTTAGACTCTGCTACGTGCATTCAAACCGTATAATGCACAGCTTCGAGTTGTTTAATCCATATCACCCTCTTTTAACATATTTTCACTTTCTGGCACCCGTGCTGTCCGATTTTCAGTTTTTAAAAAAAATTAGTTTCTTTTTACTGTGTGCCTGTCAAACTTTTACAATATTTTTTAAATTGCCATAATCCCAGTGGAAATATATACGACTGAGAGTTCTTTTATTCAAGTAAGATATAATTAGTTACTGAAAGGCAAACGCACAGATAAAAAAAGATCTACATCACTTCTTTTAAGGGACAGAACTGATGATACCAGAACAAAGTTGTTCAGTTTTAATTTCAATAACAACTGTTAAATGTCAGTGTAACCCCATTGTGTGTAGCTCAGCGATAATTTCTGTCATATTTCATTTAGAAGTCGGCATTAGAAGAGCATTTAATGCGTTGTATTTTTTAAAATTACATCATATAAATATTACATAACTAGTACATTTGAAAAGGTAAACAGTGGTTCATTAAACATTTGATCTCTGTTGTGTAATTGGCAGCAGAATGGAGACCAACCACATCTGTTCCACACCAACAAATTCTTTTGTCGCCACAAATATCTGTCAGTGGCTCAGTGCTTACAAAGGTTTCCATCCTCACCACAATTTGTTTGTTTTGTTTAGTTTGAATATAATTTAACTAACAATATTAACAATAATAAACGTAGGCTGGTGTTCAAAAGCAGCCTAAATGCCCTACGGAAAAGTCATGCTTTTCTTTCCTAACTCTCCCCAGTGCCATTGGTTTAGCTGTTTTCATTCTGACACATTACGTGAGTAACATGTGGTCGACGTCTACCACAGGATTCAAGTACGATGACACTGGTTGATTATTTAATAATCCAGTCACTTGGCACCTTTGTGGCAATTGAAAGATGAAAAATGAAATGACAGAGAGGAACCACAGAAACAGGAAGAAGGAAGAAGGAAGAGCAGTATATAAGATGTATAACTTATTCACTGACAGTATATTAAAACCTCTTGTTTCTGATGAAGATTTAAAATCAGCTGCCTATAAAAGATTCCAGAGCAGCATCAGATCACGTCCTGCTATGGAAACAGAACACAGGATGATCTGAGACTAAATTGTAGTTTTGAAGTGCATCTGTGCTTAGACATTGTTTTTACCTTTTCTGTGTTTAAAACTGTCGGCCTTCACATAACAACGGAATAAATAGTTATTTAAACGTTGGGTATTTTGCAGATAATATGCATTTTGTAGCAATGAATCACAGGATAAGTCATCTCAGATAATGAAAACTGCAGAAAAGAGAACACAAAAAGTGAATGATGGGGAATCTCAGTATAAAAATCCATAGAAAGTGTTAAAAAGAGAGTAAAAGAACGGTTCTAGGCCTGTAGCTGCAGTACTACGGGATGGTTCAGGATCAACTGAGTCAGCACTAAGCTTTATGAAAAATAAAGCCTTTAAGCCTGATCTTTAAAGTAGAGAGGAGTTTGTGTTCACTAGTGTTGTTGCTTTTTTGCTTCTTAGAAGTTTCCAAAGAAAGCGAAATGACCAGGAAGTGTCAAAGCTGTGGAAAGAGCTGGTGGAATTCTCTTCCTGCTCAGAAGGTTGCTTCAGTGTCTCCGTCATATTCTCCTGTTTTTTTGTTTGTATTGGTTTTTTGTCCATCCCTTATGAAAAGAAAGGAGATAATGCCATCCCATAATTCCTTTACATTCAAAGTGACGTATCATTCTCCCATGATTCTCTTGGCTCAACCGCTGTCAGGAAAAGTGTTTCGTAAAAGGCTCGGACCATAATTTTCTTGGCATTTCAACAACAGTCAGGGTGTGGCCTTAAAAGCCTGTGAGCTGGTTCCTCAGAAGAGGAGCTCTCTGCTTTGGAAACTCTTACACCCAAAAATATGCCTGCACTCTGAATGCGACTCTTATAGCCTTATTTTTTTTTTTACTGTGAGGCACATTCCCTAAAACATAAGCACGATGTGCACTGTGCAAACCCAACAAATGTTTGCCGTACCCTGCAGCCACGCTGAGACCTGCAGCCAGTCCAGCAACAATGATACATAAATTTGCGCAGATGAGGAAAAATTGCCACACTAACAATTCTCTGCAATGCAATCAACCAGTGCATCTGCATTTGTCAAGGATCAGATCACTTAACTGGCCCGACAGGTATGTGACTCAGCCAAAGTATTCCAGGAAGTATACAAATGGACCTCCTCGCTTGTGTGAATAGCAGTCTCTATGGTGTCGTACAGTGAAATGATCATGCCTAGCTGACAAGAGCTGGTTTGGACGCCAGAAGACAATAACAGGTAAATGAGGCTTTATTAGCATCTTTGAATATTTAAACCTGTATTATCTAAGTGTTTTTCTTATCGTGCATTCAGGCCAACTGTAGAGGAGTATGCTGCTCAACAATGAGGATGATCTTTGCTGACGCTCACATCTAAACAGGTACACAGCGGAACATGTTGGTGTTTCTGTTGTCTCTGAGTGCTCATTTTCTAAGAGATGCTTAAATATAATCCACTTTTAAGTTCAAAAACAAACAACTGTTTTGGGGCACCAAGACTCAATAAGGTTAAAATCTGAAGATGCACAAAATGTATTAGGTTGTAAATTACATTTTTAAAGAGAACATTTCAAGAAAATCATGACTGCAAGATCTGTGAAACAAAGATGAGCTCACATGCGTAGTTGCACTTTGGTGGAGCAAGAATTTAGATGAAACTGTTAATGCCTGCAAGGTTACTTGGTGGTTAGCAGTGTTGCCTCGTAGCTAGAAGGTCGCCAGTTCGCGTCCCGGTTAGGAAGCCTGGGATCTTTCTGCATGGAGTTTGCAAGTTCTCCCCGTGCAGCGTGGGTTCTCTCCAGGTTCTCCGGCTTCCTCCCACAAAGTCCAAAAACATGTTGAGGTTAATTGGTGATTCTAAATTGTCTGTAGGTGTGAATGTGAGTGTGCTTGGTTGTCTGTCTCTAAGTGTAGCCCTGTGATAGACTGGTGACCTGTCCAGGGTGTCCCCTCCCTTCACCCTAAGGCAACTGGGATAGACTCCAGCCCCCCCTTGACCCTAATGAGGATTAAGCAGTGTATAGATAATGGGTGGAGGTCAATGCCATTCTTCATTTAAACGCACATTAACTCTACAATTAAGTCTTAAAACCTTCGATTGTTGTTGTTCTGACAGTCAGAAGTGCCAGTTCATGAACTTTAAGTTTGGAAACAGGTTGTAAATTAGGAGTGATTTCTCAAAGACATTTTAATTATACAGCAAAGCCAACACTTTTAAAGTCCCTTTTCTAAACCTCAAGTAAGAAAATGTACTTTCAAATGAACCAATTACCAAGATTAATGCAGCAGACTGTTCCAGTGTCATACAATACTTGAGACAAAAATGCTTTGTACGTATCTAACAAAGTAGTTTTTCAGCTTTATTTACCAACTGTGTTTGTTTCCTGGAGCCACCTGTGTCTGTCATTGATATTAATTACATACTTCCTGAATCTTGTTAGCTTTAACTAAAAGTTGCAAGAGCCGACAGAGAGCTAGGCCACCAGGACAGAACTGCTCAGCTGAGACTAAAGAACAAATGTTTGTTGTTGTTGTTTTTTAAAGTACATTAAATCCTTAAGGTCAATGTGGTTGTAGAGAGTTTAATGCATTTGAGATAAATAATATATATGTGACTTTAAGATGTAGATATATCAAACAAAAAATCTAATTTGAGCCAATTCAATACTTTTTAAGAATCAATGAACACCCTAAAATGATTTTTATTTTCAGCATTTTGTAGGAAGCAGTGTACGATTGCATTAAAGTAACACTAACAAAATTATCCTCTATGTGGCACTTTTCAAAAACAGGCTTTATAAATGATTTCTCCGTCGTCCAGGAAAGTTTCAAACAAGCTTGAGCCGATTTCTTACAGCGCAACAGGATAAGTTTATCGAGGAAATGAGAATCTTTGCAGAACAACATTACACAGTTAGATAAGGAACATGAGGAGGGGTGAACTGTTTAAAGTATTAGAGTTGGTATAGTGATCAATATCTGATATTTGTTTACTGTCATTGCAGGAAGCTTTCCCCATCTGTCTTGCAATAGTCAAAGAAGGAAGAAAAGTAAAATATAGGTCAATCTTTTAATTCTTAGCTGCCGTTTTAGACTTTAGTGTGTGTTAATTCGATGACCTCAGTTATTCCTAAACTTCGTTAAGTTGTATTTTATAACACATACCTTGATATACAGCTGATTACACACTGTAAAATGAGCCATATGGATGCAAAAGTAAAGTAAGTGTATAGTGAATGATTTTCCTCCCCATACTTTAGTTTCTTTAAATAGTGTCCAGTTTGATCCCTTCAGCTGATTTTCTCACAGGTGTTGGATCAGGGATGTACACTAATCTGAACCCCAAGCAGTTTCTAGGCCTTTCTTTGCCTCACTGGAAACAACACAACCATGGCGAGAAGTAGAGAGACAACTCAAACATGTCCTCTGTGCAACATGTCACTGTTCTAATAGCATTAATATGAAATATAAAAGTTGATTTAGTTTTTTTACTGATTTATTTTTTTAAAAATTGAACATTTTTGAAAAACTGTTCAATCAACAGCTTACAGTCAATCTGGAGACCTATAATGTCTTCAACCCCTTTGGTTTTAGATCAGGGCACAGCTGCATTTCTGCCTCACTTAAAGTTGTAAATTATATTGTGCGTGCCATTGACAACAGAGAATATTGTGCAGCTGTTTTTGTTGACTTGGCTAAGGCATTTGACTCTGTTGACCACTCCAAAGTTTGCAAAATATCGGTCTTTCCAAGAATTGTGTAAGCCAGTTCAGAAGCTATTGTTCGGGGCACATGCAGTCAGTGAGGGTGGAGGTTTTTCTTTCAGACCCTTTACCAATTCACAAAGGAGTCCCACAGGGTCCAACACTCTTTAACGTTTACATCAACAATATAACCCAAGCCGTAAGCAATTCGCATAGCCATCTGTACGCCGATGACACGATTGTCTATACATCCTCCCTCCACACTGCCCTGTCTGGGCTACAGATTAGCTTCAATAACATTCAACACGCTTTTTCCGATCTTCTTCTGTCGCAGAAACCATCAAAACCAAATGTATGGTCTTCAGCAGAACCCTTCCACAAATTGACTATTCGATCAAACTTCTCTCACTGAACAGCACTGAGATTGGATTTTTGTTCTGTTAAAAGTATCTGGGAATTTGGCTTTGTTCGCTCTCATTTGAATCACATATCAGCACTCTCCTCCAAAGTTAAATCCAGAATCAGTTGTCTCTACCGTAACAAATCTTCATTCATGCACCCCGCCAAAGTCTTTCTTGTTAAAATGACAGTCCTTCCATTATTTGATGATGGTGATGTGTTATACAGATCCGCTTCAAAAACCCTCCTCCATAAATTAGACACTATCTACCACTCTGTCATCTTCTTTGCTGCTAGAGCTCCTTACAACACCCACCACTGCAGATTGTACTCACTGGTGAACTTAATTACACTGGTTTCTGTATATCTACAAAACCCTCACTGGTAGAACACCACCACATCTGCATTCATTACTGACCATTCATAACTCCACCCGTACTCTTTGTTCTAACAGTTTCATTAACTTCCACATTCCTGAAGTCCGTACCAGTGTTAGTCAATCCTCAGTGCAGTTTTCTGCTCACCTCATATGTACCACTCTCGTCATTTAAAAAATCAGTTAGAGCATTACTGTAGGACCACTGCACCTGCTTTTAGCTTCTCTATTTACAAGACTTTGCATAATTTGTTTTGTAATATTGTGTGAGTTGCCGTACATGTAATCTGTTTTTGCTGTTCATCTCGTTTGTACGCCACCTCTTGGTTAAATAAATAATAATTGAAAAAATACCTGGAATCCCCATATACAAGATTTTTCCCAAGTGCCCTGTTGCTGTTCTTAATAATATTACCACATAGTAATTTAACTACTCACCATTTTTATTTGTTTCCATATTTGTCTTGTTTTATCTGTCCGTGTAACCACAGCTGGCCATTCAGCTGGAAAGCCCTGAACTTTTGCCAAGCTAGTCTCAGCTGAGTCATTAATTGCTACATGTTCGCAGGCAGAAGTGCAGAAGTGTTGCATTTGTACAGAATCTAGCCGATAACAAATAGTTTATTTTGGGCGAATTCATAAATGACACATGTACAATAAAAGGGACTGTAATGAAATATTGTATTTTAAGCGTAGACTTGGATAAGTTTCCCAACAGAGGGGCACATCAAGGTTGGCTGAAACACTGCTGCTTCCTTTCTTAACACATGCTGACAAAGCTAGACAGATTTTGGTGGAGCTCCAAAAAGACACAAACAAGAGAACTGTAAGTGCTGATATCTTGCAGGACCTTTACCTTCACACATACAGATATGTATCTTGAGCTGCTGGAGCCATATGCTGTGTACATCTGGTAACACTCAAACCGGTTATATCAGTTTTCTGTGATGTAAAGAGAATGTGGCACATAGGTTTACTTTAAATGCTTATCGGCAGCACCACCCTGTCACTCCATAAATAGGCTGAATATATGTCACGCAGCTAGAATAGGACATTTTAAGATTTGTGTAAAATCAGTCAGCGATTGTATGTGAACAAATTATTGTCATCAAATATCCTCACTATGAAGAAAGACAAACAACTTTTAAATCCCCCTTTTACATTTGCACCATTTGTCTCCATCAGTCGTTGAGGGCAGCAGTGAGGCTGAATCTGTTCATACTGTGAGATAGCTTTAAAATGTACATAATGAAAATATTTTACACCCCCTAAAGCTACACAGAAGGATTATCATTACCCAGACAATCTGGTGTTCTACTTGGGCTCAGACTCACCCAGATGTGAGGTTCCAAATCTCATACTTTTTTTAAAATATAAGCTATATTTACACAATAATTCTCTTATATTTATGTATGTTGATCATTTCTTCCGTATTTGTTTTAATGGTTTGTTCATGTGCAGTTGCTTCGTAAAACATTAATTCCCCTTCACGTTTAACACTCAGTAACCTATATTGACAAAGACAAAGATTTTTTGGGGGAAATTTAATAAAAATCACAGTCGGAATCTCATTTACAAAAGTATTCAGATCCTTCATTCAGCACTTTCTAGAAGCCCCTTGGGCAACTGCTGTAGCTTGCTTGTCTTTTCAGTAAGTCTCTCCAGTCCTTGTAAACCTGGATTTGAGAAGGTTATCTGACTATTCTTGGCAAATCCTGTCAAGCCACACTGAATGGGAAGTGTGTGTGAACTGCCATCTTCGGGGGTCTCCAAACAAGTGTTCTGTGGGGTTTAGTTCTGGTCTTTGGCTTGGAACCGGTCAGAGTTTTGTAATGAAGCCACTCCACCATTGTTCTTCCTTTATGCTTCATTGTTATGCTGTTGATACCAGACATTGTTATGAAGGTAACCATCACTCCAGTGTCAGGTCACTGTACTCTGGAGCAGGTTTTCTTCAAGGACCCCTCAGTTCTGAGCAATATCCCCGTCCTTGCTGCTGGAAACGTTCTCACCGCATGATGATGCCACCACCATGCTTCACTGTACGGATGGTGAAGTTCTGCCACTATAGTTCAGTTTTTGCCTCATCAAACCAGAGAATATTTTTTCACATGCCCTTAGGTTCCTTTCAATGCAGATTTGGCAAACTTAAAGCCAGCGATCCTCTGTCCCACTGAGACTCCGTCTAAATACTTCATCATTAAAGGCTGATTAATGAAGTGCTGCTTTGATGGTCATCTTTTGGACACACTGTTATGTCTCTGCAGAGGTCTACTGAAGTGCTGTTACAGTCCTATTGAAGTGCTGTTATCATGGGCGTAGCGGACGCGGGATACACGGGGGACATGTCCCCCGCACTTCCCGTATCTGTGCCCTCCGTCCCCCGCACTTTTTTTTTTTTACAGCCATTACAACCACTTAATTCATTTTTAACATGTGGAAACACGTTTATCCGAGCCGCCTTTAAACGCATCATTATTAGACGGCGCTAAACGGCGACGCAAACAAACAGCCGCAGTGGTGAGACTGACGTTTAGCTTTAAACATGTCCGCTAAACAAACCAAGAAGCAGAAAACTCTGGACAGTTTTTTCCCAACAAACCGTGTAAGTTGAGTAATGCTGTTACATGGTGATAATGTTTAGCTAATACAAAGATATTTTATATGGGATATAATTGCCTGGGACTTTGTCATCCTAAGTTAGCTAGGTTAACTCGCTAGCTTAGCTAACTAAATGTCAATTTAGCTAGCTAAGCTAGCTGATTATAAACCCACTCCTCCTTCATTTCTGTACAGAACATGTGCTCTGGTGCTGATCATTTTAAACAGGAATGGTGTTTTACAGAACTTCTGGTGTTCAGTGTTTTCATCTGGCACTTCATTATCTGGCCATGCACCTGTAGATGCCCCGGGTCATTCTACGTCAACTCAACCAGAGTTGGCAGCTTTAGATTTTGACTTTGATAGTATATAATTTATAATTATTATTTTGAAAAAAATAAAGTTGGTTCCTTGGTGCTGTGCTGTTTGTGGTTATGTGGTTGTTTACCTGCTAAGGAGAGGTGCAATTGAATGTGAGAGGATGATAAATCACTCAATAGACCTCTGAACAATTTGCCCCCCCATGACGGCTACGCCACTGGCTGTTATACTGACTGTTGGAGTCTTGATCTCCTCCTTGACCAAGATCCTTCTTGCTCAGTTATTTTATCAGTTAGCCAACTCTGTGAAGAGTCCAAGTGATTCTAGATTTCTTCCATTTCACAAAAATTGAGGCCATTGTACTCCTAGGGACAGTCAGAGCTTTAAAGATGGTTTTCTACCCTGTAGGCCCTGATCTTTGCCTCCCCACAGTTTTATGATAAAGGTTTAAGGGGAGGTTCTTGCATTTCATGGCTTAGTTTTTGTCCTGGCGTGGGTTTTTGTGAAACCTTATAAACACAGGTGTGTGTCTTTCTAAACTGTCCAGTCCATTAAATTTGCCAGCTGGACTCCAGTTAAGTTCCAGACATATCTCAAGGACATTTAGAGCAAACAAGAAGCAGACCAGGTGCTGATTTTGGAGTGCCTTTGCCAGTGTAAAGGGTTTGAATATTTGCAAATGAAATATAAAAGATATTTTGTTATTTAGTTTATCATTAAGAATCGTTACAACAGGTTCAACAGTATCAGTGTCTACTCACTGATTGTCACAACAGAGGACACAGTTGGGGGAATATTATCAAAGTTCCCTCAATTGTCTTTGAGCTAGAGAGACAAGTCTTGTGTAGTTTGGCATTACAGGTGTGGAGCTACACTGGTTGAATTCAGGTGTGTCTTTTTAGTTTGAAATTCCAAAAAGTTTTTGGCTTTCTGTCGACGTGCTTGACAAAAGAAAAGTGTTCTTGTGTTATGTCATTAAAATGGCCACATGCCAGTAATTACATGTTTTCAAACCACTCACCAAGAAGGCGGTGCAGTTTTTATTGTGAACATCCTGGTTACATTCAAAACCAAGACTGTGCACCAGCACAATATTAAATAACATCTTAAAGTTTCAAGCATCTGTGCTGTCATTAATAATACAGAGTAGACAGGTACAGTATATAAATGTATATGTGATGTCATCTAACTAAATGTATACAATTCATTTAACAATGTTTAAATAAGATAAATCACTGCTTTGACTGTGTTTTCTCTCTAGTCAGGATGACATTACCAAAGACAGTTGGATATGTGGCTGTTCTTCTGGTTATATGCATCAGTCTGGAGAACTGGAGATACAGACAGCCTCTGAATGTCGTCTTTCAGGTAAGAAAGACAGACGAAGGTTTAGTGCTACATCCTGAGATGCTGAAACTGCTGCGTGTAGCTGCATGAAGTACCTGATCAGTTGTGTAATTTTCTAATTTATAATTGTTATTTGGTTACAGTCATTGTTCTATGTAGACAAACTGTAGAATTTAACTGAATCTGATGATTCTTTCAGGAACCATCGAGTTCAGAAACATCCCCCATTCACATCAGAGAAAAACGAGAAAGTGAGTGACATTATATTAACATTAACAGAATTTACTGCAGCAAAGAATATTGACTTTTGGTGCCCAATCCTTGCCATGGAGGTTTGTACGATGATTATGTCTGTTTTTATCTCCAGCTTCTGTAAATTCCACTGATCATGAGGTCCAGGTTGTTATAAGTATCTCAGACCTGGACAGCATCAAACTGATTCTGGCCAATCTCATGTTTCCTTTACGGATCGACAACTCTACAGAAATCGTCAGCATTGAGACCACAACAGGTACAACATTCTTGCATTTGGTTGCTTCATTGCTCCCCAAAGGTTAAGTATCTTTACTCAGCCAGCAAACATATCAAACAGCCCTGATGTTTTCTTCTACTGTTTTGTCCCATAGTGTGTTCAGTAAATACGACTGGATACCAGTGCAGATGTGAGGAGAGCTTTGCTTGGCCTCTCAACAGCTGCATTGACCACGGGGCCTGTGATAGCATCATTGATGACACGTGTGGATGCATTAATGGCCTCCCAGTAGACGGCCAGTACTGCCAGTCAAACACCAGTCAAACAGGTAGGAATCGGGGCTGTTGCACAAGACACCATTTTATTATACACTGAGTATAAGAACATTCATCTAAGTGTTGTATTTGAGGTACTTGCACTGTACTTGTTTTATACATCTACTTGACTACATATATCTCACAGCTGGTTACTTTGCAGATGAATATTTAAAGGGCCAACAATGTAAATATAAAATACCAGTCATACAATAAATTAGGTTAAATGTAAGCTTAGCTTCAGAGAGCACTTACTGCTAAGACTTTGATGACAATACATCTGTACAAAACTGTAATATAGCTACAACAACATGTGGCCAAATGGTCCTTTTTTTAAATTAAATTAGCTGAAGAAGATAATTTATCATTTACTTGTCAGTTTTTCAGCTTGACGTTTAGGGCCAGTAGATGGAGCTACGCACGCATCAAACCCACAACCGTCATGCTGTGTCTGTGACTGTTTCATTGTATTGTGAAAATACCTGATGCTTCCTCTTTTCTTTAGTTTAAAAAAAAAATACACAAATCCCCTACAGTTTTTATTTCCCTGACTCATGAAACAAGGAAGCTCAGGTGAGAAATTGAATTAACTACAACCAGATAGCTGATCTCAGCACCAGCCAGAAGAAAGAATGTGTTGCATGTGGAGGGATAGCAGCTGGGAATTCTCTTTTCTTGTTATGTGTTTTTGTTGCAGATTGAAAAGATTACAGCTGTTCTGATTCATGTCCTACAAGCCATACATCTGTATAAAAAAAAATGCTTTGCTTTGCGTGAAAGTGTTAAATATGTAGGGACTGACAAAGTCTCCATGATGTTTCAGTGGAAAATACAGACCGTGTAGTACTGAGATAACTGTGTAGCTCATCATCAAAACACCACATTTTATCTTTTGTGGTTTGGAAATATACACAGTATATTTCGCTCAAAGCATATAGCCAAAAAAGTTATGTCAAAGGTTTGTGGGCTTGTCAGAACAACACTATTGACATCATTATGTCTGTATACAGTGAAATGTGCTGCTTGAAAAGAAAAGATTATACCGATTCTGTTTCTTGTCATCGACACTTTGTATGACAAAAATTTTACTTTGTTTTGCATTTGTCAAACATTTCAACAGATGTGAGACTTGGCATGCTGCTGATTTTTATTTATTTTGATTTTTTTTCATTTTCACAGTGACAACACCAACGACAACAACGACAACATCAAACGGTATGACACACAAAATGTAACTGTAAAATCTAAAAGCATTCAAAGCTCTTTTTGTACCTGTTCTAACAGTACCGCTGTTTCAGTGGTCTGAAAACACTTATTGGCCTCAGGGGTCATAAAACATTTATTTCAAGTACAAGTCAAATGACATTTGGCAAATACTGCCAATGTAGACCTGTGCAGAAGTGGAGGACAAATGTACAAACAGGAATTGGGCAAGCAGGGGACACAGACAAACTGGGTATCTGTGATTAGCATTTCCTTGTGAATATTGTTCTGCATGATTGTGACAGGTTTGTGTGACAGATTTTCTCCTGTCCTCCTCCACAGACCCAGTGGA